GACCTGCTGGGCTCAGGTAATCCTTCTGCCTCAGCCTTCCAAGTAGCCAGAACTACAGGTGTGCACTACCACACCCAGCTAATTTTTAGAAAATTTATTGTAGAGATGAGGCCTTACCATATTGCCCAGGCTGGTCTCGAACTTGCCTCAGCCTCCCAAAGTGCTGGGATTATAGGCTTGAGCCACCATGCTCACCCGGGAGACTTTATTTAGTTATTTATTTGAGTTGGAGTCTCACTCCGTCGCCCAGGTTGTAGTGCAGTGGCACACTCACAGCCACCCCAGGGTCGACCTGCTGGGCTCCGGCAATCCTTCTATCTCAGCCTTCCAAGTAGCTGGAACTACAGGTGCGTGTTGCCACACCTGGTTAGTTTTTTTGTAATTATTATAGAGACGAGGTCTCGCCAAGTTGCCCAGACTGGTCTTGAACCCTTGGGCTCAGGCAATCCACTTGCCTTAGCCTCCCAAAGTGCTGGGATTACAGGCTGAGCCACCGAGCCCAGCCAGAGACATTTTTAAAAATAATCTTTGAGTGGGAGTGGCAGTGGCCTTTCTAAGTAGGACCAGAACCCGAAAGCTTCTTTATAAAATTAATTGTTTCCTAATAAAAAATTCAAATGAGAGATGTTTATATATAAGTCAGATGTTCATGTAAAAGGCAGAAATCTCCCTTTCCTCGCCTTCCCAGAGATGACCATGGCTTCACCTTGATGATGTCACCTTGATGGTTTCCCCTTCATTGCAGAGGCCCCTGGATGCTAGAAGTTCAATAGGAACCTGCCTAGGTTCTTGGGCAAGGGAGAGATGCAGTCAGTGTTGGGCTCATACCTTGTCCTGCCCTCTTCTTTTTAGGGGACTGCTTTTACCCAAAGTAGTTGAAGATCGTGGCGTGCAAAGAACTGACATTGGAAACCTTGGGAGTGGGATTTATTTCAGTGATTCCCTCAGGTTAGTGTGTTCTGTCTGTAATCGGGGCATCGCTATGGAGACTTGCTGTGTTCTTTACTGTCCTTCCTTGGTGAGGGCTTTCTCACCAAAGCACAGATCACTGAAGGCAGCCAGTTTTCTCAGTGTACTGTGGAAGTATGTCTTCTGTGGTGAATATTGCGGAAAACATGTCAAATGATCTTGGTGGTTTTACTCTCCAAAGAGCTCTTACATAGATTTTCTCCCAGCATCCTTACAACAACTCCTTGAAGTTGTTAACACCATGTCACAGATGGGGACACTGAGTTAGGGAGGGTGTCTTGCCTCAGGTTGTGCTGCTAAAATAAGATACAGGCAGGACTCAGCTTTGCAGCTGGTCTTTGTCCAGTGACATCAACCTTAATTCCTATTGCACGTTACCTCTCCTCTGGACGTATCTATTATATGTGACCTGAGTATGTCTGGAATGGTATTTCATCTTCAGTATCCTTGTCAACATTGACGTCTTCCCTGGTAACAGCCAAAATGTTTTGAGCGTCCACCCAAGCCTGGCACCTGGTGAGGTGCTCAGCATCCATTGCCTGTCAGCCTCACAGTTGGTGTCATGACATCGTGCTGATGAAAGGACACAGACTCAGAGGAGTTAAGTTACTTGCCTAAGGCTGCAGAACTAGTTGAAGAATGGGGACTGGGTACAGGCCCAGGACAAAGGATAATTATCCAGGATATTTAAAGAGTTTCCACAAATCAATAAGAAAACATAAACAACCCTATATGCCAATGGGCAAAAGATGTGAATGGAAACTTAACAGAAGATGAAACACACATGGGCAATAACATTTGAAAAGATTTGTAATCAAGACCATGAAAATTAAGCCATAATGAGATCCTGTTTTATACTAGCCAACTGACGAAAACAAAAAATAAGTTTAACATCTCTAGGTGTCTTTGAGTCTCTAAAACAACTGATCTCTCCAACACTGCTGGTAACAGTATGGACAGATAAAGCCTCTTGACAGAGTTTTGACACATAAGAATGTTAAATAAGTGCATAATAAAATTCTAAATTGAACCTGTAGAGATACCTCAATAACAATCAAGTTTGGAATGGTCTGCCAGGGAAGTCTTTTCAATAATATTTCCTATTTACACAAGAAAATGTTTTGGCAGGTAACAGTAAGTTACACCTACATGTTTATGTCCTTTCATGCACAGTACAAGTATCAAGTACTCACACCCAGGAGAGACAGATGGCACCAGACTCCTGGTCATTTGTGACGTGGCCCTTGGAAAGTGTATGGACTTGTACAAGAAGAACTTCTCCTTAACCAAAGCACCACCAGGCTACGACAGTGTGCATGGAGTTTCAAAAACAGCCTCTGTCACCACAGACTTTGAGGTATTTTTATATCAAGAAACAGGCAAAAAGGGATCCTGAGTGCCCAAAGAACAGCTTCTGGTTTTGCTCTTATTTTGTTTTTTTCTTGTTAGAGGTGGGGTTTCGCTATGTTGCCCAATCTGGTCTCAAACTCCTGGGCTCAAGCTATCCTCCCGCCTCAGCCTCTTGAATAGTTGGGATTACAGGTGCATACCACTGTGCCTTTTGCTCCTGTTTTTATTATATGTGCTTTAGTTTAAATAATCATATATCTACTGTCTGAATTCAATATTTTCTAAATTAGCAAGCATGTTTTTTTGAGAACATCTGCCAGTAAAGGTTTGTTGGCTTTTTTTTAACCACTTATTAATTTCTGTTTAGGATGATGAATTTGTTGTCTATAAAACCAATCAGGTTAAAATGAAATATATTATTAAATTTTGCTTGCCTGAAGATCAAATTAAGGACTTCCATCCTCGTGATAATACTGAATTAGAGGAATACATCCTTGAGTTTTCACCTTTTTCAAAGGCTGAAGGTAGGACAATTTTCTTGAATGCTGTTTTATGTAATGATGCTTATAGATCTAAACCTTATATTTTCAGTGGCATTTATATGCACATTTATGTCTCACCTCGTCCATAAATATTTCATTTCCACCAGGTGCGGTGGCTCATGCCTGTAGTCCTAGCACTTTGGCAGGAGGAGGCGCGACGATTATCTGCGCTCAGGGGTTCGAGACCTGCCTGAGCAAAACCTCGCCTCTACAATAAGTAAAAAAACTCAGCCAGGCTTGGTGGCACATGCCTGTAGTTCCAGCTACTTGGAAGGCTGAGGTAGAAGGATCACCTGAGCCCAGCAGGTCTAGTCTGCAGTGGCCGTGAGCATACCACTGCACTCCAACCTGGGTGACAGAGTGAGGTTCCAACTCAAAAAAAAATTTTTTTTTTCATTTCCTTTTTAATTTTGTACACATAAAAACTCAGGGAGTTTGAGAAAGGTTACATGATCTCAGAATTCCATGTTACTTCATTAACACATCGAAGTTGAGCTGGTTCTCTTCAGGGGTAGCTGAGATGAAGACCATGGAGCCATGTTAAAACATTACAGGGTGAGCAGCAGACAGCAGACTGAGTGGCCAGGTCAGAGATTCCGGGTCTGGGTGTCACCTGCCGGCACGCCATCTTGAATGGCCCTCTGGGTACCACCTTCTCTCAGACTGGAATGAGATCAGTACCCGCATCTCAGTGTGGTTGCGAGGAGGGAGGGGACGTGGATCCACTCTGCAAACTGTGCTGTGGGGCTCATATTTAGTGGCAGTGATGGAGAGTATGAGGTCAGTGGTAGTGATGGTAATGAGCATATGAGGGGTAATAGCATCTCAGAAGATTGGGAGCCAAACTATTACAGTGTTCATCAATAGGATTGTAATACACCTTGATACTTTTTCCTGTGATTATATTTTTTTATCAGAATGAGTATGAGCGTATGCAAGGAGATGACTTCAGTTTTTTCTCTAGGAGTATTAAAATGAAATATTTGACTGAGTGCAGTGGCTCATGCCTGTAATCCCAGAGCTCTGAGAGACTGAGGTGGTTGGATCACTTGAGCCCAGTAGTTCGAGACCAGCCTGGACAACATAGCAAGACCTTGTCTTTACAAAAAACTTAAAAAAAAAAATTAGCCAGGTGTAGTGTCACGCGCCTATAGTCTCAGCTACTTGGGAGGCTGAGATGGAAGAACCCCTGAGCCCAGGAGTTTGAGGCTGCAATGAGCTGAGATCATGCCACTGCACTCCAGCCTGGAAGACAGAGTGAGACCCGACTCAAAAAAAAAAAAGTTCTGGCAAGACAGTCTGTATTTATCTAATTTTGTATATTTTTTTGTGCTTAGTATAGGATGTGAACAGTTTTCAGCATGTTGTAGTAGGAGTTTGATCTAGTCCTCCTTGGATTGAAATCCTGGGTAGTTTCATATCATCCCCAAATATTTCTATGGCATGATAAGTAATAGTGACTGTTCAATTCTACATTACGAGCCAGGAAATGCAAATAGCTAGGTCCCTGTTTAGCTACACTTATTGAATGTCTTGAGACCTCTGTATTTGGGCGTGTGTCTTTCAAGAACTGGCATGATTCTAGGTCTTCGAGATGACTTCTATTTTAAAAGGCAGAAGTATCTTTGAGAATGGGCCTCCTTTTCTCACTTACTCTTTAGAATTGGCTGCTTACAATATAAAATACTATTTGTCCACTTTCCCTAAAATATAATGTATTAAAGGATGGAGAAGGAGTACAGATCAAGGTCACAAAAGCAGACAGTGCAGGGAAGGTTTAGAAGCTAATGTTAATATCTCTGCCACTAGATCACCAGTTACCAGATGCCAAGCCTTCCAGCAACATCCAGGCGGGCCTCCAGGACACCACTGGGAATATGGTTCCTCTTGAGGACGTCCACATCAAGGGGAGAATCATGGACTTTGTGGCCCAGGTACACTCTTGGTGGCTTTATGATACTTAAATAGATGCAAATCCTAAATGAGAATCTGACTGTAGTTGTATGAACCAAAGAGAATGCATGAGGCTCTGGGCATCCAACAATGGACAGCACAAGGGCTCTGCCCTCATGCAGTGTGCTCTGTGTTGGGAATAGGCAGTAAATGTGACCAATGAGTAGACTGTGTGACAGATGGTGATGGGTGCTAAAGGGAAACTCAAAATGAAGGGACTGGAACTGTGTAGGAGGATAGGGTTCACACCTGTTGGGAGACCTCACTGAGAAGGTGCTATCCATGTATGGACCTGAAGGGAAGTGGGGGCTGGAAACTGTGTGGGAACTGGGGGACACTCACTGCAGGCAGCCTGTGCAAAGGCTCCAAGGTGGGAGTCTGATGTGGTCAAGGAACACCACAAAGGCCACCACGGAGGTCACTGGCTAGAGCAGAGTGAAAAGGAGGAGGCGTGAGAGGAGCCTGGGCCAGGAGGGTGTGGGGAGGCCCATGTCAGGGCACAGGACATGCTGTCCTTGACTCTGAAATGGAAGCCTCTGAAGATATATGGCAGAGGAGCGATGTGACCAGACCTGTGATTTAAGGCATACACTCTGGCCACCACGATGAGAACAGTAAGAAGAAGACCAGATAGGCGACATCTCAGGGCAAGCTCCCTGGGAAGCAGACCCGAGTGGAAACTGCTCTCAGGAAGTTGGTTGACCTGTGCCCTTGGAAGCAGCACCTGTGAGGGAGGTGGGATGTGGCAGAGGGGACAACAGTGTCTTCAGTCAGTCTTGGAGTGAGCTCTGGGCCGGTGGCCCTTTAGAGATGTTCTAGCTAGGCTTTGTACCCCCATGGGCCAGTCCCTGGATGCAGGCTGCCCCAAGGAGGAGCCCAAACCTTGGCAGTGGCGGTCATCCTTGGCCAGGGACAGTTTCTGGGGAGGGACTCTACAGGTGATGTTCTTAGCAGTCTCGGTCCTGAAGCGGGTGTTGGGGCCACTGTGGCCTCCCATATTGAAGGCTACTGAAGGAATTCAGTTGAGGATGGTGACGACTTGGACCGGAATGTTAGCAGCAGGGGTGTGGGAATGATGGATTCTGGCTAAGGACCAAAGGCAGAGTCAGCACAATCTGCTGATGGAGAGAGGACAAGAGGGAAGGACACTGCCTAGGATGATGCCAAGGTTCTTGCCCTGAGCAGCTGGAAGCTTCACGTCTGCTGGATCACTCGCTGGAACGGGGAAGGTGGTGGGAGGGCAGGCTAGGGGCCACTAGGAGTTCATCTTTGGTTGTGTTAATGGAAGATATCTGCACTGGACATCCGATGGACAGGCCAAGTAGGCAGAGATGTGAGCCTAAGTTAAGGGAAGACTCCCTGTCTGGATTTATGGATGGTTATGGATGGGGAATCCCAGCTTCAGGTACTATTTAAGGTCATGAGCCCAGATTAAACCACCAAGAGAATTGGTATAGACAGAAAAAAGAAGCCCAAGAAGTAGAGGATGGGAGGAGGCTGAATCCGTACCCGTGGAGACACTTAAGAGAAGGATGGACAAGCAGGAGAGAGGCGAACTGGTGGGTCTAGTCAGGTAAAGACAGTGAGGAGCTCATTGGTGACCTTGACCTTGACAATGGCCCTTTGGATAGGGTGGTGGCATGAAGGGCTGATCACAGTGAATTCAGGAAAGAATGGGAAGAAGGAATTGAGAGACAGAGGAGAGGAACCGGGCAGTAGCTGAAGTGATATGGGGCTGAACGTTTTGGTTTTCCTTTTTTTTTGGAGTTGGCGAATCACTCGGTTGCCCAGACTGGAGTGCAGTGGCTGCTTCCGGCCACCGCAGCCTCGACCTGCTGGGCTCCAGCGATCCTTCCGCCTCAGCCTTCCGAGTAGCCGGAATTACAGGCACGCGCTACCACGCCCGGCTGATTTTTTTATTTATTGTAGAGATGAGGTCTTGCTGT